ATATATATATATATATATATATATATATATATATATATATATATATAGAAATTTATAAAATAAAGATAATAAATATAGATTTAGTTCCTTTCGAAATGTAATTATTTTTACGCTTAAATAATAATAGAAATTTTATTATTATCTCTTTGAATCGGATTATTCTATATAATATTTTTTGGACAATTGGCACACTTACAATGTTTGATAAAATGTTGAAATGGAATTCCAATTTGTTAAAAAAAATAAGATGGCCTGCAACTGTACAATCAATGGACATCGTCACGATAGTCGGAGGTAACTTTTCTAAGATGAAGTTTGGCACATTAATATAATATCCTTTAAATTGTTTTAAATGTTCCGAAGGTTTGAGCGATTTGGGATGTGTTATTGATACTGGACCGATAATACCGTTGATAACAATTGGAAGATAAAATGCGTAACTAGCCAAATCAATAGGGTCAAAATGAAGATGAAATTCTTGGCTAGTATTAGGTGCGATAAAAATATCTTTATCACCTGTTGATTTGTTAAAAAAAATAATAAATGGTAATTCTTTACTTGATCGTAACAAAATTTATATATTTGATTTTTTGATAATTTTATTTGATAATTCTTTTTATTCTAATTTATCAGAATTGATGGCAGATAAATGTAATTTGCTATTTATATATAAAGCTTAATTAAAAATTGAACATACCTATACCAGGATCGTGCCTTTGCGACGAAAGACAAACACGAAATTCTGGATATTCTTCTAGTAAAAATTTTAATTTTAGCATAGTTGTCCCGACATTTGTTGCATTTATCAAATAATGTTGATACGCAGAGGCGCTTATTCGTCGTAAATGTAAAAATTGCGGATTTAACTTCAATTGTGGATATGATACATTGCCTATGATTTTTAATTGAAGATTTAAGTGCTTTTGTATCGTAACGCGAATCACCATAGTAAAATGAAAACATAAACTAAATGTTAGATAAATCTGTAAGATAAAAAATATATTATTCATTCAAACATGATAAAATATATTATATATTATTCTTATTAAAGATAAATAAAGAAAAAGATTAATTATTTGTTTTATTTATAAAATTTATTTCTTCCTAATATATTATAAAGATTGCCTATTTATTCCTACCTCTAAAGTAGCAACTGCACGAGGCGACATTATTCCGTGAAGAGGACGAACAATGCATCCATGAACCAAAGAAGAAGAATCTACTTCGAATTCGATCTCAACGTACTCAAAATTACGTAAAAAAGCTATTGTTTTCGTTGGCAGATTAAGCGGTATTTCACCAATATTTATAATATCCTTAATAAAGCTAACTTTGGGTATAAATCCTGGAATGCTTATTCGTATAGTATTATAACTGCTATTTTCACATTTCATTATCAATTCCGCAGAAGTGGATTTTGAAAAATCAGGCTTGTAATATACATAAATGAATAATGAAGCATTTCCACGAATGACACCTGATATTGGCTCGACAAAAAAGCAACTTGTGCTTGGTATTTCCCACCTGATTTGAAACAAAATTTTTAAATATTTTATAATATTTATTATATGTTATATAATATCTATATTAAATATTATAACGGAATGTCTTGGTTAAACGATATTAATATATTTTTCGTGTAAAAATTAGAAAATAACTAATTTTTATTTAACAATCTAATATAGTATAATATAGATATTATAATTATAAATACCGATGATAAAGAACTATAAATAATTTTCGCGATATAAGTGAAAGTATTAATTATGTAAAATGTTTAATTAATTATTCATTATGTGTTAGTTATATATAAATTCTTTTTCATTATATTCTAATTGAATTTTAATTGAAAAAGTTAATATACTTTTTTATTCGTATTATCTTTATCTTTATTTAATATAATTATAGATAAAATTGTTTTATTTTACTAATTTAATTCAAACAAATTTCTTACTGGAACTTGGTTTTTGCATCCAATTTATTTCTAATCTGAATAGCACAATCCATTGGTCGATAGATTTCTTCCTTTAACCAATCTTGACCAAGAGTAATTTCTCGAGTATCTAATGATAATTGTTTTTCAACAATATTGGCAGTAACGCTAAGTTCGAATGAATGATTGTCGTTAATAAGATAACCGATATAACCGTTAAATTTGCCAATATGATATGCACGAAATTCGACTAATCGCGTTGCGATTAAACCGGGTGGCAAAATAATTAAATTCCCTTCCGGGAAATTAATAAATTTAGATAAACTCGTAAAGCGAATCATAATTGAAAAATCGTTTAAATTTTCTACGATTAATTGTTTATAGTTGTGAGTTTTGGGAACGACCTGTAATAAAATATGTAATAAAATATTTTTTTAAATAAATAAATAAAAAATATTATCAAACACATTTTGAAGAATATAAGACAAAGATAAATTTGTCTTAATTTTTTAAAAATGTCGATAAAAAATTTACCATTCCAAAAGCGAATAAAGTAGGATACATGCGTACGTTGTATATTTGTAAAGGAGTTAAAGGTATTAATACTTCGGTACTAGTCGATAATTTTTTAACCGAAGTATAGCACTTCACTGTTTCCGATATTTTTTTATGTTTCCACTTAGGAATATGAACAACTTTTTCCATAATTTCTTCGTTATTATTATGTTTTTTTACAATAATATCTTTTTTCAACTTCGATTTTATCTTGAAATAAAATATTGATAATAAATCGTTAAACATGAATTAAGATATAATACAAAATAAAGAGGAAAATATATCTTTTATCATAAAAATGTGAATATAAATATATCGAAATATAAAAAATTTCGTATTCGCTTGACGATAGATTACAGAGAATATTCGTACAAAGTTGATATAAAATTTAAAGATGTTTCTACAAACAAAAAATAAAATGAATATAAAGAAAAAATGAAAAAAAAATGTATTTTTTATTTCATAATTTATTTCATAATATTTATTCAAATTTTAATTTGTACCCTTTCAAATTTTTCGATACTTGGGTTATAGAATATATTGTATTAAAATATAAGATTTCATTATAGACTAAAATATAATATATTTCATTATGAAAATAGAATTTTTTTTGGCTCTTTTAATGTAATATATCATTATATTAAATAGTGCAGCTTACTGTAAGAAAATGTGATAATGGCATTTTCCGAGTATCTTTCGGGAGTTTCCGTATATCTGTAAGAAAATAATAATATGCAATTATGATTATTATACATTTTAGAAAAGATAATTTATTATACAAATTCACAAGATTAATATTTGATACTTCGATAAAATATACATACATATATATATATAATTTTTATATAATATCAATTACCTTTATAATATTCTTCAAAAGAACTTATCGCTCGTGTCATACATGATTGTTTCGTGGTAACCAATAGTTTCACATTCACTCTACATTGTATTGAATATCTTCCTACTTTGATTTTCGTTTGGCGTCTAGTTTTCATCGATTCGCATGAATCAGCCGCAATATCGAAATAAATCTTGAATGATGAACTGACTGTGAATTAAAATGCAAAAACTGGAATGAATTTCGCTTTTTCAATAGTTTATCACCTCGCTTGGATTAACCAAAAGATTAAGAAAAATAAAAAAAAATAATAAAAAAAAGAATGCATACTATTTTCTTTTCCTCGAACTTTTAAAAGTACTTCTATAGATCCTTCTGGTTTTAATAAAATCGTCTCTGGATAGCAATGAGCCGATGCGTTACGCACGTAACGACAAAATAGAGGTGCAAATTTTAATGGATTCGATATACGAACTACTCGCTGTGAATTTTCACCGACATAAAGTTCTCCGAAATAAAGTATATCTGGTTGGAAGAATAAACGTGCAACTTCCGTTTCTCCATGAAGACAGAGCCTTACGATGTCGTTGAGATCAGAATCAATGCTCGGTTCCGAAGACGAAGACGAAGAATTATCGTGCATAATTGGCACATATTCTGTTAAAATATAGCATTATATTTTGTATTTAGTTTTTAATATTTAACTTAAACACATATAAAGTAACTAACGTTTATGATCATTAGTAATTTGTAAGTCTTCGTTTAACTCTTCTCGCACGCTTTCCACATCTTCTACACTCATTTATGATAAAACTAGTTATTTCATATTTTAAATATATTACAAAGCAAATGGAAAACGGAAAATATGCATAACATAGAAAATATAACACACTCAATATGTGTTTCGTTTCTGTAACGTGTACTCTGACTATTCTTAAAAATGCCATAAAATCTTTCTCTTGTTTCGAACTTTTTTCCGCTGTTTTTCGCCATTCAATTAAACTGTCTATCGGTGTAAATCTAAAATTACATTTTTTATTAAATAATTTTCCGTTGTAAATTAATATATTTAGATACAATATATAGATACAATAAATAAATAAATAAATAAATATAGATATAAATATGTACATATATGAAAAAAGAAACATAAGTTTCGATACAAAAATATTCATTTGAAAACAGCAATACAATATTAATATCACCTACTAATGAATAAATATATCAAAACCAATTAATAATTAATTATATATAAATATTATTATATACTATTAATATACTAATAAATAATTAATTATATATATATATA